AGTAGTAGTAGTAGTAGTAGTAGTAGTAGTAGTAGTAGTAGTAGTAGTAGTAGATTAATAAACGTTCCTGAAGAAGCCCACTAGGGCGAAACGTTGAACATAGTTCCTAATGCCATCAATATTCTTTAATACCCAAGTCTTTACCCTTTTATTTTGTTGGGTTTTGTTTCTTAACGTGTGGTCAGTGTTACGGTAACAGTTACTGGCATTTGTCATTGTCGTTGTCATTGTCATATTATTCATTGTTATTGTTACAGTTACTGTCATTGTCATTGTCATTGTCATATTATTCATTGTTATTGTTACAGTTACTGTTATTGTCATTGTCATTGTCATATTATTCATTGTTATTGTTACAGTTACTGTCATTGTCATTGTCATTGTCATGGTCATTTTCCATGTTGCTGTCAATGTCTCATTTGTTTTTGCCGTTGTCATTTGACGCTGCCATTGTCATTGCCTAAGTGCACCCCCCACCCTCACCCTGCCCGTGTCTGTGGTCAAGCCATCAGGCGCATACAGAACCTTTTTGTGGTTCAAGTGCTGGAAAAATCACACTAAAGCACACAAAAACCCCACCAAAAAGCCCATTCATTCACCCTATAGTTCTGACCACTGACCACTGACTCTGTAGTTCTGATCACTGACCACTGACTCTATAGTTCTGACCACTGACCACTGACTCTGTAGTTCTGATCACTGACCACTGACTCTGTAGTTCTGACCACTGACCACTGACTCTGTAGTTCTGATCATTGACCACTGACTCTGTAGTTCTGACCACTGACTCTGTAGTTCTGACCACTGACTCTGTAGTTCTGACCACTGACTCTATAGTTCTGATCACTGACCACTGACTCTGTAGTTCTGACCACTGACTCTGTAGTTCTGACCACTGACTCTACAGTTCTGATCACTGACCACTGACCGCTGAACACTGAACACTGACTCTATAGTTCTGATCACTGACCACTGACCGTACAGTTCTGACCACTGACCACTGACCACTGACTCTATAGTCCTGACCACTGACCACTGACCACTGGCCCTACATTTCTGACCACTGACTCTACAGTTCTGACCACTGACCACTGACCCTACAGTTCTGACCACTGACCAATGACCCTACTGTTCTGACCACTGACCACTGACTCTACAGTTCTGACACTGACCACTGACCACTGACCCTACAGTCCTGACCACTGACTCTACAATTCTGACCACTGACCACTGACCCTACAATTCTGACCACTGACCACTCACCCGACAGTTCTCCCCTGACCACTCGTGTCTGACGTCATCCCAGTGGACACAACTGAGTCGGCGACACGCCACCTTGATTTTGTCCGACAACTGACCCCTCTCAGGGATTGGCTGGGCAGACCGCAGGCTGAACAACACGTGATACATGGCGTCCCTCCGCTCATACGCTTGTCGCTGGGGGAGGAGGGAGGGGAGAGGGGGGAGGAGAGAGGGGGAGGAGAGAGGGGGAGGAGAGAGGCGTAGAGGGGGGGGGGGAGACAGACAGGTTCAATTATACCAGTAGATGAAAAAGTAGAGGCGGTAGAGTGAGAAAGTGAAAGAGAGGGAGGGAGGGATAGAGAAAAAGAAAAGGAGAAAGAAAGACAGAGATCGGTAGATAGAGAAAGAGACAGGAAGCCGTGTAGACAGAGAACAAAGAACAAAATGTTTACCGTAGACAGACCGTAGACACAGGACAAAGTGTTTACCATAGACAGACCGTAGACACAGGACAAAGTGTTTACTATAGACAGACCGTAGACACAGGACAAAGTGTTTACCATAGACAGCTGTGGCAGGAAGATATTGTTTTGCAGGAGACCACTCGATGACGCTTTGACTTGTGAGTAGACGATGCCAGTACGTGACGTCATGCCCAGCGCGTTTTCCAGTTTGTCGTTGAGCTGTGTGCGCGCCAGTACATCCATCTGGGACTCCGAGACTGGGGTGAGCACAGTGGCGAACTTGAGAGATGGTTTCACCTACAGGGGACCGGTAGTAGTAGTAGTAGTAGTAGTAGTAGTAGTAGTAGTAGTAGTAGTAGTAGT